CTCCCATCACACTTTTAACCAATTGTCTTTTTTCTTGAACTTCGGCTTCTAAACGCTTTTCTAATGCGGAAATACATTCTAGTTTATCTTTTAAAAGAACTTCAAAACGTTCCAACTCTTCTCTGTGTTTTGAATTGAGCTGTGCCATTTCTTTTTCATACCTAAGTATAAAAAACCTTAATTTTTTTTTTTTAAATAATTTATTATTTTGATTAACCTCTCTTTAAAATTAATTATTTGATTATTCATTTGAAGTTTTATCAATTTATTTTCCTCATTTGTAATTTGAACAATTCCATCTAATTTACGCTGATAATCAGATACTTTTTCAGCCAGCATAGCATCTAGCTGTTTTTGATAAAAGCTTTTTAGATCATTTTTCACAGTTTTAATTTCTTCTTTTGCTGCATTAAGTTCCTCAGCAGTTTGAGCCTAGATCATAATATTTAGGTACAATAATTATGATAATAAAAACATTTAAATATTTTTTTTTTTATCAAATACTATTAATTTAATATAAATACCTCAGTACTTTTCATTTGATCAACAATCTCTTCAATTCTATGTTTTTGATCTAAAAGTTGATCATATTTTAAAGTTTTCTCACATAATATTTTTTTTTCTTCATTTAGTACTAGTACTTCTTTCTCCAACTTACTACACTTATTCATTGATTCATTGCACTTTTCGGCTATCTAAAATATAACAAATAATATTGATTTTATTGTAACAATAAGTTTTAAATTACTACAGCATTAATTATTTAATATATCATCGGTTAACATGTCGTATTGCTTACTACACAGTACACACAGTATTTCAAGTCCTAGCTGTGTTTCTTAAGTTAATTTGTTAACCTATCAGTTACTGTAATCACATTATGACACTATGTAGTCCCTTTGATGTCACATTTAAGTAATCTCTATTGAATTTTTAAACTCACGTTTATATTTTTTTCTTGTAATTTAACTAATTCATTTTTAAGCAAATCATTTTCTTCATTTTTTTTTTCAAAACTTATTTGTAATTGTTTGGTTTGTTCTTCTACTTTTTGGCATTTGATTAATAATTCATTTAACTTTTTTTCAGCATTTTCTGTTTGAACTTTGTAAGAATTACTTCGAGAAATTGCTTTAGCTGTGTCACTTTTATAATGTTCGATTTTTTCTTTCACTGTTTCCAAAATTTCTTTTTTTTTCTTGCGCTCAGATTGTAAATCTCTGTTGATTTTTTCATTAATTGTACTATATGCTCTTACTTGACTTAAAATCATAGCTGATCGTGCAGCAAGATCATCAAGAAGATTATTTTTTTGACAATCTTCTTCTTTATATTCAATCATTCTTTTTTCATAATTTTTTAACTTTTCTTCTAAATCTATAACTTTTTTTTCTATATTCTGTAACAACAAATATCAAAAAATATATATTTGCCAAATTATTAATTCAAATATTATTCCATCATTTTATTTATTTTATAGATGAAGTATCAAAAAACATATTTACTTGTCTGCGATAAATTTCTTTTCCTAGTTTCAACCACAAATTTTCTTTTGAAATAGAGTCTAATTTTTGGTAATCACTTAAAGCTGTAGTTACACGTGGGGTTACATTTTCCAAGTTGTSACATAAACTTAAATATAGAAACATATTACCTTCAATCATATAAAAAATAGTAATAAATTAAATAGTACCTCTGTAAATTGTTATCTTCTAATCCATCATAATTAGTTTTTTTGGTTATAACAGGAGATCCAACATCTTTTTCTTGAAAACTGACATTACGCTGAGGATGGCCATTATCTATATTTCTTAATAACTTATCATTGTAATCGTAAGTATTCACCATTTCATGCATCAGCGAATCAATGGAACTATAGTTAATTTTTTTCTCAGCATTTCGTTTAAGAGGAGAGGAAGCACTAAGAGGACTGGACAGACCATTGCTGATGTAACTAGTTTCCATTTGTTCAATTTCATTAATTTGATTTGATAAAGTATCTAAATTTGTCACTAAATTGTCAATTACGCCTTTGAAACTATTTGAGCTGTTAGACAACTCTTCTGTGACTGTGTCTTCATTCGTTTCACTATCTGAAGTGTGGACTTGAAAGAAATCAGACGGTAGTGACACTAAGAAGTCAGTATTTTCACTACAGGAATCACTCATAATTGATAATTTTGTGGCGATAAGTCTATTGTCATAAACATTTAAAAATAGAACTTACAAGGTAAAAACTTTTTGAAATCATTACATACATATTACACAATTACTATCTCAAATCTTATAAAATTACTGTTATTGCTTATCACTGATCATTTTTTTTTTTTTGTTTACATCGCCACAACACGATAAACTAAAAATCGAGCATTTCCCATGATAACGTGTTCAAAACCATTGTGAATTTTGTGAATTGTGAATATTAGAGTTCCATATTTTGTAAATATTTGAAATAGTTGAATAAACCTTAATATTACTGTATTTAATTAAAATACTATGGCTAGTAAATTTGAAGGGTTAGTATTAAGATTAATATAATTGGTTTAAGGTATTAAACATTTAATATATTTAATTTTAGATCAAAAACTGTGAGTGAAGACGAGAACACTACATCCAAAGATATGACGCTTGCCGACAAATTAATTAATGTTAGTATAAATTATTTATGATAATATTATATTGTAGATTTATAATTTATGTGAATGATTATCGAAACAATTTGAATGATTACTAACTCATTTCAAATTATTTCAATATACGTTTACATACATCTTATTGTGCCAAGAACATGTGTGTCGGATATATGGTTAAAATGTTATAAATATGATTAAATTAGTGAATTATTGATGCAAATAGTATTATTTGTTTTCTTTTGTTAAATAATGTAGGTCTCTAACAATGTACAATGCATAAAAGTTATTTCCCTTTTAACTTGGGTATGTGTATGAATTGAGCGATCAATGAAAAACAAGTTAGATTTTCTAAACTTACATAGGTAATAAATCATTTATGACATTTCATTTTTTTACATGAAGTTTAAGGTGAATAAGATAATATCTTGAGGTAGTAACACAAACAAATTATTTAAATTAATTAATAAAATGATATGTAAGGTTTTACAGCCTAATATGATTATCTTCTGTGTTCATCTGGCTCAAGGGTTTTATGTTAAGATTCTCATCTTAAAATGTGTCAAACAATAAAATTATAGTTGAAGATGTAGTTAAAACCTATAAAGTGATCCGGTAATAAATACCTATTAATATTATTGGTTGACCAATTTTTAAAAAATTTAAGTATCAAGTATGATATAATGTGATTTATAAATAAATATATTTTTTTGATCTTCTAAGTAATATTTTACTCAATGATTAATATTGAAATACAATGCCCAATAAAAATAAATCTCGTTATTCTAGACTGCTAGTTATGTAGACATAATATGTTCGAAATCAATATATTTGTACATTTAAAAATTAAAGTATCGGAAAACATATTATTTTTATTTGCCAATTGATGTTGAAAATTCAGTAGTAGTAAATTTAATAATTAGGTTAGCTTATGAATTATATTTTGGTAAATTATTTGAACAAGTAATTCAATTATTTGATAAAATTGAAATAAATACAAATATGATTTTAAATTTAACCTACACAAAGACTAAAGCATCAAATCAGTTAAAAATTTAGTTAAAAGGCATCATAAAAAGTTCTACTCAAAATTACTTCTGCACCATAATTCATTAATTGCTCAATAACATATAATCCCCAATAATCCACCTTGCTGTCTTAAAGACGTTGGTGTTGTGCACTTTTAGTTTAAATAAGGTCTTGTCAAATTTAGCCGAAACATGTCTAAAAGGTACTCTCGCTGGATAACTTCTCTTTTCCACGTCACTATGTCCAATATAATATGTTCACCTATTTGCTTATTGTAACTTTTTTTTATTGTACAGATTGTAAATGTTACTTATTTATTTAATAATAAAAAAAATTTAACCTTAACATAGAATTATGAGTATGATTATTTATATCACACATTTTTTTGTATAAGTTAAACTATATTTTTGAACACAAAAATTATCCACTTCATATTATTTATATTTCATAACTTTTGAATACAATTCAAATAAAATAATACAATGGGTCATGTGAAAAATAGTATAAAAAATACTACAATTTAAATTAACCTTATTTTAATATTTTTTTAATTCTGTCTAGATACCGCTGTCAATACCTTCTGGAGATCATAAACTTCAACATCAATATTGGTTTTGGTTTAGTCGTAGATTTCCCGGTAAGCCAGGAAATACCCCTAGTTATGATCAAAATCTTAAATATCTAGCGAGATTTGGTTCAGTTGAACAATTTTGGACTATATATAGTCATATGGTAAGGCCGTGTGCCTTGCAATCACACAGTGAATTCCATTTATTTAAAGTTGGAATCAAACCAATGTGGGAGGTAATTTTATTGGTCATATTCATATATTAAAAAATCTAATATAAATCACTTTTTTACTTGATTTTATATTTTTAGGATGAATCAAATGCCAGGGGAGGAAAATGGGTTTTACGAATACGTAAAGGCCTAGCATCCAGGTGCTGGGAGAATCTCATTTTAGCGATGTTAGGCGAACAGTTTATGGTGGGTGATGAGATATGCGGAGCTGTTGTTTCTTTGAGATTTCAAGTAAGCTGTCATACATTTTTTAACTATAACTTTTTGTATGTTTAATGATAAAACTTATTTATTTTAGGAAGACATTATATCAATTTGGAATAAGACTTCGTATGATCAAGGGGCTACTAACAGAATAAGAGATACATTACGCAGAGTATTAAATCTGCCACCCAATACAATTCTAGAATATAAAACACATAATGAAAGTATCAAATCAGTATCTAGTGTTTATAAAATGTAAATTACACTAATTAAAACCAGCATGAATTATATATAAAAGATTCTTTATTGAAAAAAGTTAATTAAATATTAATTAAAAAATAAACATAAATAAAAATACAATTTATTATATACAATTTTTTTTTACAACCCAATCATCTAGTGGTGGATAAGAGATTAAAAATATGGCGGCAGTGTTTGTCCAAACAAAAATGTATTATAGCTTTAATACATTTATTTACCTATTAGTGCAAATTGTATGGCTTTGAAATTCTTGAAGGTTGGTTATAAGGTTTGAAAAATAATAGATCTTAAAACTATAATCAATAATAAATTACATCAAAACAATAAAATGTAAAATAAAAGCATAGCACATAAATCTATTAARTAGATTAATGCTTTTAGAGTAAATTAATATCTTATAAGTTACAACTAATAATGGAAACATGCATATTGAGTACAAATCAGTTTCAAAACTATTGTCAACAAGCGGATGTGTTAGTAAAAATATCCCTGTGGACTATTGATGTTGTAATATTGTTATTGTAGTCATACCTGAAATAATAAATATTAAATACAATATAGTTAATATTATATGATTGCATGAACACATTATAATATTGCTACTTTAACTCTAGTCAATTATAATATAATATATTCTTACCCAAAACAAAAGCTAATGCTAATTTTAAATTGAAAGAAATACGAAATTTCAGAATATCTGAATCTTCAGATGATGGTAAAAGTAATCCGCAAATACATATACCAGCCATAAATAGAGTTGTGAGATTTGGTCCTGGAGTATCTAAAACATTTTTAAGAGATTACAAATAATTTTTATAATTTATGTTGGATATTTAACAGGAACACTTCAAAATGTCTATTTAAATATGAAAATTTATCTTTAAAAGAACGCACGCTACATCTACTTGCATAATTTTAATTGTCTCAGTCTTAAAAACGCAAAACAGCAAATTGTACATTCTGAATAATCCATGTAACTCTGATATGTTTAATATTAAATTTCTATCATAAAATTTAGGAGTAGAAATATTATCTAGTGAATAGGGTTACCAGATGTCCTCTTTTTAAGTTTAAATAAAAACGTCCGGGGGGTTTTTTTCAATATTGGAAAATGTCAGGGTTTTTCATGAAATGTGAATTTTTTTTATAATCACCTCGATATCAGTATATAGGTATTTATATAATTGTATTATTCTGTGTTAGTACTTATTTATTTCTAAATCACAAAGAAATTCTATAGTATTTAATTTATTTTCTTAAGTCTAAATATCAACTATTCTACTTATTAATAATTTTCACGATCTTGAAAAAAACGTCTTCTTTTATTGTCAACTATAAATGGTAACCCTACTAGTGAATCTCATAGTTTTTTTAATGTTTTAATTTTAAAACTATACAACTATTAGAGCTGACCATCCCAACGGCACATCTCACGGGGGTTCTGCAATAATAATAAAATCCTCACTTTTTTATAATCAACTGCAAAATATCAATAAATCGTATGATTTATACCTACAAGCAACGAATATCAAAATAAAAATACATCATTTAAACGTTACAATCTCATCAGCTTATTTTCCTCCAGGCCAAAAAATCTCTGAACACAAATTGCAATCTTTTTTTCAAAGCCTTGGTACCTAGCTGCTTTATAATAGGAGGTGATTTCAATGCAAAACATACCCAATGGGGTAGTAGATACACTAGCACAAGAGGTAGATTATTTTACGCTTCAATACAAAAAAATAAACTGTCCTTTATTTCCCCGGACGAACCGACTTATTGGCATACTCATGAAAACAGATCACCCGATATCCTCGATTTTTTCATAACACAAATTCCAACTGGTTTAAAATACCAATTAAAAAACCTAAATGACCTATCAAGTAACCACTCTCCCTTACAATTAACCTTATGTGGCCGTCCCGTATCCTCTGACAGACAGTCCCTTGCATCAGGACCCCTTGATTGGAAACTATTTCAACAAAAATTAGATGAGTCACTGTCTCTCAATTTCCCACTAAAATATCCTCTAGATATAGATAATGCAATCTCCACATTAACCAAGTCAATCCAAAATGCAGCATTAAACACCAGCTCCCACACCTCCAACAATATTCTACCAAAACATCATACTTCATTTCCACCATTCTTAGTAAATCATATAAAAGCTAAACGTCAGGCTAGATCATTATGGCAAAGAACAAAATATCCTAGTCACAAAACTATTTATAACCATCCCATAACCGATTTAAAACTCAATTATCAAAATTCAGATCTGAACAATTTAGTAAATATTTAATTACTCTGACTCCCAAAAATGGCTCCCTCTGGAAAACAACCAAAAGACTAATTAATCACCGTGATAACATACCTCCACTCGAACGACCTGACAAATCATTAGGTATCTCTGACTTAGAGAAAGCAAATCTTTTCGACAATCACTTGTCCTCCATATTCTCTCCTCACCCTGACCTAAATTCTAAACCAGATCAAACCAATAGAGTAAATTCATTCATGTCCTCCCATTTGCCCATGTCTCTTCCCGCAAAACCAATTTCCCCTGCTGAAATTGTTTCAGTAATTCAAAAGCTTTGGCTTAAAAAATCACCTGGACATGATCATATTACAAATAAAATAGCCAAAAACCTAACAAAAAAGTCAATTCTGTTTCTTACTCACATCTATAACATCTATAATGCTATGCTTCGTTTATCTTACTTCCCTCCTACATGGAAGTATTCAATTATCATTATGATCTCTAAACCCAATAAGCCAAAGCACCTCACCAGTTCGTATCGTCCCATCAGTTTACTACCCACATTTGTAAAGCTTTTCGAAAAACTAATTCTACATAGAATTACTCCAATAATAGACCAACAAAATATACTACCAAAATAACAATTTGTTTTTTGTCGTAAACACAACACAATCCACAGAATCACAGACGAAATCTCAGCCTCCTTCGAGACCAAACAATACTGCCTCGGGGTATTCCTAGATATATCTCAGGCCTTCGATCATGTTTGCCATGATGGAGTTCTTTTTAAACTAAAACACTTTCTCCCTTCGCCATATTATTTAATCATCAAATCATATCTTGAAAACCGGTCTTTTTCCGTTCGCCAAAAAAATTATTACTCAACTGTTCAGTATATAAAAGTAGGAGTTCCTCAGGGTAGTGACCTTTCGCCTACACTCTATAACATATTTACTGCTGATATACCAACATCAAACCAAACTCTACTTGCCTCATTTGCCGACGATACAGCAATACTTTTGTCAAAGAAGTTTCCTGATATTGCGTCTCAAAATGTACAACTACATTTGAATAAGATAAAATCTTGGTCCAAAGACTGGAGAATTAAAATTAATGATGACAAATCCGCACAGGTGAATTTTTCACTAAACAAATGGGAATGCCCCCTACTAAAGTTTAATAACAAACCAATTCCGCTTCACCAGTCAACTAAATACCTTGGTATAACTCTAGATAAAAGACTAACCTGGTCAAACCACATCAAACAAAAACGAAAAGAATTAAACTCCCGCCTGCACCTACTTAGACCTCTACTAAAATCAAACATGAGTCTCAAAAACAAACTACTCTTATACAAAGTAATCATCAGACCAGTATTGTCTTATGGCATTCAAAGTTGGGGCCCAGTTAAACTCGCAAACATTCGTCCTATACAAGCCTTCCAGTCAATCACTCTTAGACTTATCACCGGTGCCCCTTAGTACTTAACAAATGCAGCCCTCCACAACAACTTAAAAATACCAAGAGTAAATGTGCTTGCAAAAAGTCACTACAATAGTTTCCACTCAAAATTAAAAAATCATTCAAACCCCGTCATTAAAAATATGTCCTCTCTTACATTACCAACTCGCCGTCGATTAAAAAGAAACTGGGCTAGAGATCTCCTTAATTAGGGGAAAAAAAAATTAAAAAAATTTCTGAGGTTCTGTTGATGAACTGTCTCCTCTTCAGGTTATTCATGTTTTGTATACCCTCTTTGTTATCCCTATTTCTTATTGTTTTTTTTATTGTAAAACAGATTGAATATTTAATAAAAGAATTTAAAAAAAAAATTTTAAACAAGTAATGGTAATTTTAAAATAATAAATTGTTTGTAAAAACTCAAAACTATTTGTAAAATTAAAATATAAAAATTTTAGGGGCAATAACTGAACCCCAAAATAACTTAGAATAATAGCATATGGTGACAAAGACCAAAAATAATTGGTTTCTACTAAATTTGAATTCCTGCTGGAACAGAAGTTAATGAGACTCCAATTGTGTTATTAAACATACATAAAATATTATATAACTGAAGTCTAAAAGGGATCATAATAATTAATAATATTAATTTAAATTTGAAATAGCTCACTTGTATTAGTGGTTTGTCTTATTTCAGATTCATTATCATAGTTATCAACAGATATATCAGTTCTGAGTAATTGCTTAAAATTTTCAGCTGGTAGCTCAAAATTGTCAGAAGACCTTACTAATATTGTTTCAACATCTTTGTGTCCAATGACTTTTTTGGTTGTATAATATTGCATTTGTATTCGGAATTTATCTCTGATATCGCAGAAAGCTGGCGCAGGAGCATTGTGCCTGACAACTATGTCCACTCGAGAACTAGCATTTATTGAACCTTCTGGTTCAACGACAGTATACTTTTTTGTGCATGTACAAAAAACTATGAACAAATAACATCATAAAAACACAAATAGAAATAAATCAGATTGTATTGAATTTACCTTTGAATCTGACTGGAAAGTCGTATGGATTAAATAGTGTAATTATTTGCCTGTGGGATGGCTTGTCCTCCAAACTAAAAGTTAATGATTGAGGACTGACAAACACAGGGACTTTACATTCAGTCATCATAACTATTTATATCTTATAACAATAGACATAACATTTTTGCATTGTTTCATGATTKTTCAAATGATATCAACTTTATTACGTTCTGACTTTAATAAATCTGTTGTTTCATTGTTTGCGATGCAACTCATTGAAAATTATTGCATACGCAACTTCTGTTATTGACTAGTAGCTAAAAAGCACAAATCACAATGCTTGAACCAAAAATGTATTGTTTTTATCTCTAATCTCTTATCATTTTATTTTACATATGTTTTTTTGTCCGTGTTTCTATATCCGTGGTGTTTCACGACTGTGTTTGTTACATTATTATCATTAGAGACGTATAAAATCATTGATAATACATAATGCGTATTATATATGTATCTAAAAACTAAAAAGCTTAAAAGCATAGTATAAGGAATATATTCCTTATACTATGCTTAAAAGCACCTATTTCCTATTGGGCATTGGCTATTCATTTACGGATCTATCTATTCTATATTTCTATCTAGAGAAGTAGAGACTAGAGAGCCTTGATAGTTGATATTAATGATATGTAATATGTTAATAAAGAGCCCTAATTAAAGTTAATATTAATATCAAGGCTCTCTAGATCTAACTATTTCTATCTTTTATGGGTCTAATGTGATTATCAAATTACAAATACATATAATTATTATAGATACTTACCACAAAATAATTCTTTATTATACCAATTTACCGTTTTCGATGATCTAAATCTTATAGAATATAGATAAACAATATGTGTTYAGGTATGTATCTCGATTAGTACCTATTTATTTGCAATATTTCGACTATAGCCTACGGTTTCATCAAGCCCAAATAATAACCGATAATCAATAAATAATATATGAATATACATCATAGACGTAATCTGTGGTCAAGGGGTGCAACTACTCCCTCTGTCATCGTATATTTCAGGGGTGGCCAAATTTAAAAGACTAGGGATCGGCCTTTGAGTTTTTTAAGGTTGTCGCGATCGACAAAAAAAATCAATAAACAAAACAAAAATGAATTATTAATTAAATTGAAGTATTGTTATATTATTATTGTACACAAGTATTATTAACTAAATCTAATTTTTTATTATTAGTGGGATAAATATACAACGATACACACATTTACAAATTAAAATAAAATAATAATTTGTTTTCTGACAAAAATTCAAAAATTTAAAAAAATGCCAAATGGTGTCGCGATCGACTCTAATTCACCTCGCGATTGACCTGTTGGTCACCCCTGATATATTTAACTGATTAGTATTTTTTTAACTTCTACGTTTTTACTGTTTTTAGTTTTAACACAAACTGAGCCTAAGAATTCATCCCACATTACGCTTAGGTATGGCTTATAAAGTATACATTGAAGCAATGAAGCGTCTTGTATTAAATACTATAAATATTGGTAGTTAGTAATAAATTAATAACTATTATAATAGCAATGTTGTAAAGTACTTAAGTGAACCTGTAAAAGTATTTAAGTATACCTATCTATGTTTAAATATTTTAAAATAGGTACCTACTCGAATACGGATTTTAAATACTTTCTCGATGTACCTGTATTTAAATTCAAATACCTACATACTTTATTAATTTTATTATTTTACTTAACATATTTTCAAATTTAATTTAGATCACATAAAATAAAAAATAAAAAGCGGGTCAGTATATGTCGCTCTGCTGTACAGTATAATTTAAAAGTGGGCAGTAGTGCCGATCACCCAATTTATATATGACATAATATATCATAGTAGATTTTTAAATAGGGGAGCCCACCATAAGATACTACCGTGTGGCGTGTACTGCATCCAGAATATACGTTTAAACTAAAAATATACGATTAAACGTTACATTACTTATTTTTAGATATACTTTGATTTGTATGTTGTATCTGATGGTTAAATTATAAAATTAGGAGGGGGGCTGATGGGAGTCCCTTGATATACGATGTCATACTGTCATAGTATACTTTACACACTTCGGGTTACTGTAATGGTCAATGGATGGTATTAAATATGAAATTCAATAATATAATATCATTGCATTCAAAAAATGATTCTTAGCGGAAGCGGTTTGTCAGTCCAGGATATTTTATAGTTTTTATACTATTATATACTATATTAATTATATTGCTATTATTTCAGAAAAAAAAATGTACCTACCTTTAATATAATAAAAATAAAATAATATTAAGGTTAAAACAAAATAATTAAAGACGTAAGTCCGTAAGTGTCATCGGTGGGTGGCTTCTTCATTCAAAATTTCATTATATTGTCATTGTCATTAGCTCATACTCTTATTGTGCAGATTGCATATAGATTGTGTATTTATTAATAAAGTAAAAAAAAAACCTTTAATATGAATTCCAAATTAATCAAATTAGATTTATTATGTAGTACCACTGGTATCCGCCGACTCACTCAGTCATTTATAGTAGGTAGTAGGTAGGTACATACAATTTATTATTAAGTATTAATATAAGTCATTAACGAGTAACGACATAAACTATTACAGTTAGAATATAAAGTATACTCTAGAAATATAAAGTACCCACGAATAATATTTTTAATTTTTAATTACAATAAAATTGTTATTCTTAGTTATTTAATATGTAATATCATCCAAATTTGAACTTAAAATAACTATAAAAAAAAACACTGGGCTTGTATAGTTTTTAGATTTATTTTTGTCACAGAATAAACCACTTACGTTAACCCTTGTTTTAAATTTCAATTCATAGCTATGAAAGTTAAACACTTTACAAGTTTTTAACAACCAAAGAATTTTAAGTTTTCAATTGAATAAATTTTGTTAAAATTTGAATTTTAAATGGTTATATATATAAAAAAAAAGTGTCAATGTATTTAAAATATTTTCCAACTGTTATTATATCAACATGTGGGGACACCTTGTATTCAATTTTCAAGCTTTTTGACCCAATGAATATGATTTTGTTTTCATTTATAGAATAAAAAACTAAAGAAACAGTAACCTACACCACTAAACATGGGCGTCCCCAGACATTTTTCTAGGGGGGGGGGATTATAACATTACAATTAGGTAGGTATTATTATTACAATTAAAAAAATTAAAAAACATTATTATACCAGAATTTTACTAATTGCTGTGGAAATAATATTATTCCAGGGGGGGGGGCAAGTGCCCCTCTTCCACCCCCCTGGGGACGCCCATGCCACTAAATATAAAATGTTAGTAGTAAAATAAAAGTTTTTTGTAGGATGTATCCCCTTACCCCCAGCCCCTGTACTGATCTACTGTGTTATCATTTTACCACTGCCATCACATTTGGTCACGTTTTGTTTTTTTTTTTGTAAGAAGTTTTTGTTACATAAACATGAACATTATTTGAGGGTGCTAATTTTTAATTTGGGGATGCTAATACGCTCTAAGCTCTCCCCTCTATTTGCACCTATGTTTTTGAGCAATTTGAGATGATCTTGTATTTGACAATGTAAAATATATTTCCCGGCTTACCGATACAATACATATTGTCCATCAACCATGATCGATTTTTGCCAATTTAATATCACCGCGACCTTACTGTGTCCGCGATCAATTTTTACCAATTTATTTTCACCGTAAAAAGTGTTCGCGGTGTGCAACTCAGAAAAAATAGATAATACAAAGTGACTATTTAATGCCAGCTAACAATAGCTAAGTATACAAAATGTACGTAAAACATGAAAACCGGTTCAGTTGATTTGTAAGGTGAAAAAAAATATTTCATAAGTAATTTAAAAGGATCTATAGTTACGTCTACGGTGTGGACTTCACACAATCTTATAATTTATTTAACTATCCGGTCATATTTCCGTGATGTATACTTCAATTTTCCACGAGTATCAACTAGGCCACTTATACCTATGGGCTATAGAAAATTAATAATTTGTTTCCCGAAAAAAGGATATTTTAAAATTATTTAATTCAATAAACTATATCGTTTTTTTACCTGCTATAACAATTAATAGTTAATATTTAAGAGTTAAAAGGACATTATACTGAGATTTGTTTTCTCACTTTTCTCCACCTTTCAAGTGCGTAATAGAACAAATTTTACGTTTAGCTTAGTTAGTTTAAAAAATTTAGCGACCTCTTATTAAAGATTTAAGCGAGGATTTAAGAGAGTAAGATTATTATCTAAGCAATGTCATAAGATTTTCATTATATTTTAATTTAGCGAGTTAATTTACAAACACCTTTACATTTTTTGAGAGGTCAGTTCACAGTTTGAATAACACAACAATAATGGATTTTGAAACAATTAGAACTTTTTTTATGTAAGTATCTAAACCTCGCAATATAGTTTTTGCTATGATTACATTTTTAAGACGAAGACAGCATTCGAGTGTAGCATCTTCTTAATATAAAATAGTTTATTAAAAAAAAAAAAGGAAAATAATTTATTAGAATTTACATCAATTATATTAAAAATATGCATAGGCAATTTGTACTCATTTAAATATTATGTGATAATGCAATATAGAATATCTCTAATGTTTGTAAATTACTAAATTGTAATATATAATTTATAGTATTAAAAAGAATGACAGTGGTTATTAAGATTTAAAATGAAAAAAAAATGTATTTGATAAAAAAATTATCATTTCTCCATTTGGAATTTAGAGTAATTATCATGCTCTATTTCTTAATGTTGTGATATGCAAAAACTTTCAATAAGTATAAAAAGGTATACAAATGTTAGGACTGATATTCTGCCCTAACATCGTAAAGATTAAAATTATATCAATGTCTATATTATTATAATATTATCTGTGACTATGAATTTACTGCTTATAAAAATTAAGCAATATTTATAACAACAAAATATGTCCAATGAATAATAGTAATAATAATAATAATAATTTAAATTAACTAATATAAATATTCTACGAGTGTGTCACAGAATTAGTATTTCTTACTATGTTTATTTATTTTACAGTTTCTTTATCATAAAACGTGATGATATAAAAATATTAAAAACAATATTATGCATAAAAATATTACATTTATTATAGTATTTAACATGATTATTATTTTGTTTTTCAATATTTATTTACAAAATATGTTTCAATGTATAAAATAGTTGTCTTAACTTAATGTAACCAAGAGTACTTAATATTATTAACAAAAGAATAGTCATAAACAAATAAATTTAAGCTAAAAATAAAATACAATACT